CCCTGAGCTGCCTAATGTGGAACAGCCCTCCAGTCTGGGCGCAGCACACCATGCAGATCTGTCTGTGGAAAGGTTACCTTACATTTTGGTCTTTTAAGCCCTTATAGTATTTTTTTTTTTTTTAAGGCAAATCTATTCATCATTTCTACTGTCAAATGAAAAGAATGTTCACAGGAGAACTTGTTGCTGCAGTTTTAGATGAAGACAAACAAGGACATGCAGGTGGTTTAATTGCTGGTGACCACTGTGAGCTTCCTACAGGCTCCTTCGTTACAATTAACCAGCTGAGTTGATCCTGCATCCAAGGGGTATGCGCAGCACAACGCGGGCCAGAAGGCCAAGCTGTGCATGCAGCGCAGCACAGGCCTGCACCCACTCAGGTTAACTGTTAGGTGGATCACTGACTCCTCGGTGTACAGTGGTCTTCAGGTTAGGATCATGACAAAGATTTAATCTGTCTAATCTGGTTTCCCCATCTCATTATGAATCACTAGTTGATCCATCAGTACAGACAGCTGTGCTCTAAGTAGAATGGCTGCCTGGTTGGGCTTTTTTTTCCCCTGCTCATGCCTATTTAGTTTTACAGACAGCTGTGCTCTAAGTAGAATGGCCGCCTGGTTGGGCTTTTTTTTCCCCTGCTCGTGCCTATTTAGTTTTTTTTTTCATCAAATCTTACTAAGGGTATAGTAAGGATTATGAGGAAAGTGGTGTGGTGTGGTTTAGTCACACTGTGAACGTTGCTTTGTGCTCTTATGACTTCTGCTGATCTCCATGGGGGTTATGCCTGATATGACTCAGCTAACAGAAAGGGCTTTAAAACAAAAAGCAAACCTTTGCTTTGGCTGCTGGGTGCTTTGTTGCTTCCACTGTCTCTGACTTGGTTGATACCGTCTCTGTCCTGGCAGTTTCTATTTCCAAAATGTTGCTGAAGGAGAAGAGTCTTGTGAGCACTTCTCACCCGCTTCAGTGGGAAGTCAGGCAGCTTACTGCAAACCTTCTCTCACATCATTTCAACTTTAGTGTTTGGACTTCGTAGTAACGCTGGTCCGGAGTGCTGGCTTGTTCTGTTCTGCCTGCAGAGCTGTGTGCTGGTAACCCCCAGAAGAGAAATAATAAAAACTTCAGAGCAGCATCTTATACTGCCATAGCTGTGTGTTAAAGTCAAAGACTTTATTATTGTCAGGATCTGCACTAGGTACTGTACAAATGTGAAACAAAAAGATAATCCTGTCCCTGGAAATCTTTTTCCTTTAAGAGCTCAGTTCTCATCCTCCTGTGTTCCAGGTAGTTTTTTCACTCACCTCAACGAGAACAAAATCAGGACGTTCTTTTTCTCATGGTGGTAGATTACAGGTGTCTTTTCCACCAAGGGATGTGTGCGATCACTGTAATTGCAATTGTTGCATCTTGGGGTTATTTGTTACTTTGTCTCTCATGATAACTGGAATGGGATAGCATCTTACTTGTGGGTTAATTACAACCCCTTTTTTATTCATCATTTCTGAGTACATCTCAAAGGACATCCTGGAACACCTGTATCTCAGTTTCCTCATCTGTGAAGTGTAATGAACTGTGCTGAATTTATCTTCCCTGAGACAGACCAGAAGGGATCAGTGGCATGTCCTACCATCTACAGTTTATTGCTATTCATTTCGAAGGAGATTCTTTTTTGCTTCAAGAGGTAGAGGACACCCTAGCAGAAGGGCTTGGGATATGTCTTCGTGTCCTGGCTTTGGCTGGGATAGAGTTAATTTTCTTCTTAGTAGCTGGTACAATGCTGTGTTTTGGATTTAGGATGAGAATAATGTTGATAACACACGGATGTTTTAGTGGTTGCTAAGTAGTGCTTGCTAGTCAGTAGTAGTGCTAGTCAAGGTTTTTTCAGCTTTTCATGCCCTGCCAGTGAGAAGCTGGGAGGGGGCACAGCCAGGACAGCTGACCCAAACTGGTCACAGGGATATTCCATAGCAT